TTATTATTATTATCAACCCGTCTCGATTATATATATAGATTAACATTTTAAATTAATCGTTAACAATAAACTTTATCTTCTCCTTTCGTAATTTATCCAGTTCTACGTTCAGCTGTTGTTCTTCTTGATATATATTATATTATATTAAAAACGATGTCATCTTCCTCGATTTGTTGTTGTTTCATGTAAAAAATATTTCCACCAGTAAAGTCGAAATAAACGTTCATATATCGACGTCTGCTTCCGGTCCGACGATAAGCATACCACAAAGTTCAAATAGTTCGTATTTCCCGCTCTCAAGTCTGTCAGAACGACATATTACGACTTCACAAGCTGTAGATCAGCAGCAACTTCTTTTAAGAGGCAGTTAGACCAGTCCAATTTCCACTTCTTCTTCTCTCATCCTTTCAGTTAATATGGAGATATTAGCCTTGTCGGCAGTCCAATTTCCCGCCACAGCGTCTCCTTATATACCAGACATGGGCAAATGCGACTCTTGCTGAAAGTGTTAATTTCTGCTTTTTATTATTATTTTTAGAGTTTTATTTCCACAATTTTGTGAAAATATGTTTATTTAAAAAATTCAATATTTGTTTTATAGTCTATTATATTTATATTATATAATAAAATCGCGGTACAGAACTGTGGTACAGAATAAAAAAGTACAGAACTGCGGCTTCTATGCATTTTGCAAAACCTACATTTCGGCTCCCACTGAACTTTTGCTTTCCACCCGTTATATACTATTCGTGAGTCCGACGGTTGGCCAATCAGCTACGCTGGATCAAGCTCTCCCTTACGTGGTAGCCAATCTGGATTTGGTCCAAACGTTAACAGTCTCTTTCTAGGACGCAAGCGCTAATAATTCAAAATTTGATCTATCGTGTCGTTACCTCCTTGTAATCTAGATATTCTAGAACAGTGTTTTTCAACCTTCTTGAATACGCGACCCCTTTACAAGTTAAAAACTTCTGGCGACCCCCAGGGCCATATTGAAACTATATCAGTGACTTTAAAAACTATGTACTGTATTTAATTTTCTTTCTGTTGAAACCTAAATATCGATCGAAAAACCAATTATACTGTATAATAAACAGGTACAGCCTTCTCACCGTAATTGTAGATTTTTTTTATTGTAGTGTAGGACCTTAAAACACCTGTCTTTTTCTTTTACCCGCGATCCCCCGTGTAAGGCTTTGCGACCCCCTGGGGGTCGCAACCCACAGGTTGAAAAACAGTTCTAGAACAACGGTCGGCAACCTATCTCACCTCACGGACCACTAAAGTCACAATTTTGAATCCCGCGGACCATTATCATGAATTTTTTCAAACAATACAAAATTTGTAGAATAATGATCATAAAAGTTCAATTTCATTACATTAATTACACACATGTTTAATTATAACAAATTAATGCAAACCTAAAGTTCATTGCCGCTTGTTTGAAACAAGTTTATGGCTTTTCCACGAAGGACGACAATCACACTCACAATATTGTTTATTGTTCATTATTTATTAATAACAGTCACTTCGTTTTTGGTTTTAAATTCGAATAAAAACCCCAATGAATGAAAAAAGCAACTAAGCATTTTGCATTACTTTCGTAATACTTCGCGTAATCTTCGGTTGATCAATGTTCAAATTTCTCCACGGACCACCGGTTACCGACCGTTGTTCTAGAATGTGCTAGATCTTTTCCTAATAAATCCAATTTATTTAAATTAAACTATATTGATATTTAAGCGTTTTATTTATATAAATATAATTTTATACATTTTAAACATTAATATATCATGAAAAGTCAATAATAACAAGCAAATTACTATTTTTATTTTTGGTTGGTAACAAGAAAACCTGTTTTGACAACGTGAGTATGTAACTGACATTTTTGGAATTTTTATAATATAAAAATAATTCAATTTCTTGCATGATTTTGAAATATTGCGAAATTTTCAATTATAGTCAACATCAAAATTAAAGTTGGCGATTGTATACATATTAATTGAACTGAATTGTTAAAGAAAAAAAGCATTTCTTCATTAGATCGTCCGTTAAAGATGTTCAAGAGCGGCCATGGAAAATATGCATTAACGATATTATGCGAGTTAAACATAGATGTACTGTACAATGTACAGTGGGAAGTGAAGGACCAGCGCATTGTCTCATATTTACCGTATCTCTTGAAATCGATAATCAAAAATTTACTGGCCGAGGTCGTACTAAGAAAATGGTGAAACATATTGCTGCAGAGAATGCATTAGCTGCAATTGTTTATGTTGATAATTCGATTAAATATTCTGAGAAAATACACAAAGACAACGTAATGAATAGTGAGGTTGAGGCCGAAGTTTTAAACGCGAAAACGTGTACGTCGGACGTTTAGCGCTGCTTTCCTGTAAGCCTAGAAGTTTGACAATGGTGTTTGGATAGTCAGTGGAATCATGCTCGACATTCCAAACACCATTGTCAAACTTCTAGGCTTACAGGAAAGCGGCGCTGAACGTCCGACGTACACGTTTTCGCGTTTAAAACTTCGGTCTCAACCTTGCTATTACTGATGTGCCAGTACAGTACGAGGAAAACATCCCGTTGTGCTACTAAACGAACTTCATTCGGATTTGAAATTTCATTTAAAAGAAAATAAATCACTGCGAGTTTGTAGAACATCCAGATTTCAGTGTTACTTGGTCAGTCGGATTTAAAGGTCTTAAATTTATTAATTCAACAACAGGAAAATTAGAAAATGAAAAGACTTCGAGTTAAAGTAAGAAAGCATCTTTTCGTCGATTTAATAACTTACAACAACGTTCCAATTGCTGCTGAACGACAGTTGAATAGAAAACCAAAGTTGTATTCGGAAGCAAAACAATCTGCCTTGAATTATCAACCAGCTAAAACCATCTTGAAAGAAGCATAATATATGAACACACTCGGCAAGTGGAATTCAGGTGTGTTCATATATTATAATTTTACATTGCTGAGAAAGAGAGAGAGAGTTGAAAGAAGCATTTGAAAATGCAAGTTTATGAGTTTGGATGATGAAACTTTTACATCTAGATTTTGAATAATAAAATTAATGGAATTTTGCTTTTCATAGACACAATGTAGTGAAATTTTTCAAACACTAGGCAGATTATTCATCTTTTATTCGGTTGGGACGCTAATTACAAGACGCGTTTCGGGCTTCGGCCCTCCTCAGCCAACTAAACAATAAAATCAAACGAATACAAATAAACATTCGAATGCACAAGAAACTATGCACCATGTAGATATAACGCATTTAAAAACATACCTTAAAAGTTCAATATACAGCAATTACATATATACAGACAGCATACGTAATGGATCGTATCTCGTTCCGTAGGTCGGGTAAAGAACGAACAGATCGGCAGTTTCGACGAGTTTTTTTTTAACATTCGTCTAAATAAATCAAATTTACAGAAAGGTATATTAACGTCTCTTATACCTGTAATTTGTATCTTGGGCATATCATTTAAATTTACACAATGACTGTTGCTACTGTTACAGATAGGTCTCACACACGACCATCACAACGACGCAGTCTTCTCTTCTATTTTTATATGGAGAGTCTAGCACCTATTAGGCTCTTTCTCCGACGAGCAGTCACTCATTGGTCACTGGAAACGCCCGGTTTGAGTGACGTAAGTTCCTAGTTCCCACACAGTCTGGTTTTCTAATTTGCATACATACCAACAAAACCAATTTAAAAGAATTTACAGTAATCGACACCAACTGCAACAATGAAACTTAAAACTTATTAATATACTAGCTGCAAGGACCCGCTTCGCTGGGTTTTTATTTGTATGTAATATAGTTATATATATATATATAAAAGACTGTTTTTCTAAGTAATCTAGAATCTATCTGCAAGGACCCGCTTCGCTGGGTTTTTAAAAAGTAACGATAGTGAAGAGTAAGATAATTACATTATAGCCAATCTTACCCGTTTTCACAGAATGCAAGAATTAGGTCCCCCGTT